CAGGCGGACTCTCAACCACTGTGCCACCAGGGAAGCCCGACCCTCAACTCTTATACACAGCTATACATGATATCTCTTTTTGGATCTCTAATAGGCACCTTAAACTTTGATATATACATAACTTCACTCTCAAACTTTCTACCTAACCTGTTCTTAACCCAATTTTCCTTGTTAAATGCAATTCCATCTCTCCACTTGCTCCGACCACCTTAGAGTTGTGTTTTTCTCTCACATTCCATCAGTAAGTTGTCTGGCTTCTACCTCTGAAATACATCTGAACCTGACAACTCTTCACTCTCTGCCTCTATAGTTAGCGTAAGCCACCATCACTTCTTGCTGGGACTAGCCCTGCCTTGACTCTTTTTGCTCTGTAGCCAGAGCAACCAGAATAATGTTGTATAAATGTACGTGTAAGTCAGATCTTAACCATTTCCCAGTGTAAAACCTTCCAATGGCTTTCCTTTGCAATTACTATAAATACCAAGTTCTTTACCGTGGTCTACAAGGACCTACATGATCAGATTCCTGCTATCTCTTTCTTATACTAGCCTCAACTTAAATGTCATTTCCTCAGAGATGTCTTCCCCAACTATTAATATGTTGAAAATAATTTCCTTCCCCCTACCCCTCTGCTACCTTTTATAATACTGTTTATTTTCTTCATAGCACTTAGCATTCTCTAAAGTTACTTATTCATTTACTTGAGTATTGTTTCCTTTACTAGAATATGTTTCATGAAAACAGGGACCATTTTTTTTTGTCATAACTGTGTCCCTAGCAACTGGAACAGTGTCATAAACATAGGTATGCACTCAATAAATATATGTTAACTGAGTGAATGAACATGCTGTGTTCTTCCATTTATTATTTCCTAGTCTAAAAAGTGCCACCCATCTCCCTTCCCCAAATAAAACAAAAATTTAGTCCCTTCCAATTAATAAACTCTAAAGTCCTACTTATCCTTTATATTTCAGTTTATATTTTTATTCTCCTCTGAAGCTTTCCCTTAACCTTTCCCCCCTCTCACTGAGGCAAAGTTAAGCACTTCCTTCTTGGTTTTCATTGTATTTTTTTTCAATTTCTCAGTTGTATCTATCACTTTATACTATGGCTGTCTACGTGTCTGTCTACCCTCATTAGATTGTGAAGGTTTTCATGGACAGGAACTGTGTATTATTTGGGTTGGTTTCCTTAGCATCTGGAATAATGCGAGGCATTCAGTTAATGTAGATAAATAAGTGAATCAAAATCAAAATCTTAATTCCCATGGTAGTTTTCCAGAAGGCAGCATTGCTGTGTAAAATACAGAGATGAGTAAGACTCTTGCCTTCTGAAAATTTACAGTTTATTCATTATTAAATAAATATTTATCTGCAGTGTGCCAGGCATTATGCTTAAGTGGTAAGGATCAAAGACAAAGGTCCCTGCCTGAAGAAACTATTTTAGTGGGGTATTATTTCCCTTGACTTTGATCAATAATATTTCATGCTGTATATAGGTGTTTCCTAGGCATTTTGAATCTGTAATTTACCTGTGAACGCGATGGGCGACACTGGGACACACAGATTAACTGCCTAATTCTAATCTTATGCTGCATGTATATTTATCACATAGTTACATATTGGCAAAGGAGGAGTGATGAAGGCCAGAACCGTATATTTTTTTTGCTTCTAAAGCATAGCATGGAAGAGATACTAGCACTACACTTGAGACTAGCAATACAGATTGTTCATACATAATGGTGACAGATTTTTATTTTCATTGCCAATGGTGCTTTTTAATATTGTTATAAACAAATAGAACCATGGCCTATGTTTCTTAATTGATGTGGCTAAATTCATTTATTCTTCATGTTTCTGACACATTTCTTACATTTTGGAACTTTGGCACAGAGTTAATATTGCTCTGAATTCTCCAGTTTCTGAATTCTCGGTATTTCTGACTTGTAAGTGAAAGCACAATTATTTTGAAGGAATTTCGGTATAGCAATTAAAGTTCTGTAGATTTCCATACTTCCTCAATTTTTACTGAAACTGTATTTGTATACCTATATGACACTCATGAGTATAAACAATAGTTTCAAATTTCTGTTCTTCCAGAACTGCTGTTTCATTTGGAATTAAACCAGAGTTTTTGAGTATACATTTTAGTAGCATATTTGGAATTTAATATAATTGACAAATTTGCTTCTCTTGGAGAAAATACATATGCAGACAGCAGCACATGACTTGTCGAAATTCTTATGTATGCAACTGAAGTTTAAAAACACCTTGGTAGAGAAGGAGTTAACAGGTTAACTCCCCTTGGTTGTTCTCAGCTTGCTCTCTTGCCTTTAGGAGCTGAAAAGATGATAACATTGGGCCCGGACATGCCTGTGTGGAGGTTATGGTACTCCTGGGGTTTTTTTCAGCTAACCGTAAAGCAAGCTAGAACTTGTTCATCTCAGAGTTCCTTGTTTCTCTTTCAGCCCTTTCAGTGCCCTGCAGGAGTCATTAAATCAAAACTTCATGCTGATCATCACCCACCGAGAAGTCCAGCGGGAGTACAACCTGAACTTCTCAGGAAGCAGTACCATTCAAGAGGTGAGTTATGTCTCACAGCTAAGGGATGAAGGTAGCTCATTATAGCTAATGTTGACCCTGTTAAAGAGGGCTTATGTATTCTGGTTGGAAACTCTCTTTATGTTTCATTATTGGGTTTTTAATTTTAATTAACTTGAGCATCAGTGATTACTGTAGATACATTAAATGACTTGACCTAGAAAGATAGATGTTGTAAATGAAAGCTCTTGATAATTCTTAAAATAGTCAACTTTTAAAACCCTGCTTAAAAAAAACACATTGTTATATATTTCATAGTTTTATAGTAATTATTCAGAATATTAATTTGGAGATTATCGACAGCATGCATTTTCGAACATGAGTATACTTTATTTGAAAGGTTGCTCTCAAACATATTATTTATAGTGTGTATCCTGCCTATTTCCAAAAGGAATTGAGGAGGCTTTTCTTAAGCAGTTGAATACCAGCCTTGGGCAGTATTCGTGAGGTGCTGTAGGGAACCCAGTCATTTAGCTCAGAGTATCTAAGAAGAATCTATTTATAGTGTAAATATTTTCATCAATGTGACCAACCAGGGCCACTGTTTCAAAAAGAACCTCCCCCAAGAGAGAAGAGGTAACTTCTTGTCTGTGGCCCCACCCACCTAAAAGCTAGTAATTTATCTGCTTTGGGGGGGGAAATGTGTAAGGCTATGTGACAAGACTTGTGTTTAGAGACAGTGAAATGATGATTATGTCACATTACCCCTTGAAAATTATGAAGACAACAGTCATTGTCCACTCATGTTTTTATAAAGAAAATTAATCTTGTTTAATCTTAGATTATTTCATAAGTTTTTTCTTGGACTTCATTGCTTCAACTAATTACTAATGTCATATTGAAAGAACGAGTTGTTTTCACCCTAATCATTTTTCGGAAGTATATGAATTATTTCAGTAATGACTGTTAATGGTTTTTCTTTTTTCATGTTTTATCAATAAATTTCAACTTCTGAATTTGGCGTAAATAACTCATTACTTGAGGTTTATTTTCTCTGTTTATCACTTGAATAGTTTGTTGACTAGTAACTAAGATCTTTAAGATTTTTCTTGGCCCCTAATTTGAATCATAGGTTTAAATTATTTTATTTTTTTCAGGATTTTAAATATATTAATTGCCATTTCATTTTTAATCTCTATAATGGATGTTCTGTTCTCTAAATTTAAAATTTTAATTCATTGAAGAATCACTGTCGTTTTTATATTAAAAATAATGTTTAACTCTCGCCCTATCGCAGAGTTATTCTGGGAGCCTCATGATTATGAAATTTAAATTATATATTGAATAAAATTAAAGAATTCAGTTTCAAAATAAATAACCCCAGTTTAATCAAGAACAGCAAAGATAATAAGAGGTAAATTTCATTCTGTTGTTGATTTCCTTTTTTAAGTTGAAGACTAGTATATCGCATGAAGGGTACATATAGACTGCTTTTTTTTTTTTTTTCTGATTGCAATATTTACAGCCAGAATTTTACCTTTCTTTGTTTTTTTGCATTTTTGTTTTAACATTTCCACTTTCTATAGTTTGAGTGTGTTTCAACTTTCTCCCACAAGGGGGCACAGAGGACTATTAAACTGTTAGTCTAAAAATGCCGTTCAGTGTTTTCAAATTAGCTTCTCTTATATTAACAAAAAGGAGCATAATAGCCAAGTTATTGTTTGATTTACAGATAATTGGCATATTGCAGGGAGGAGACTTAATTTCACCCTTTTAAATTAAACAGGGAGATTTAAAAAGACATAAAATATTCATTAATGTTCGGTGATTATAAAGTAGTGGCATATATTTATTTTGCCTTTATTACTGTTTCGATGGGAAAATACTGCAAATATTTCCGAAATCGAGTTGGCCATACTGACAAGTTGAAATGTTTAAGCAGCGTTAATGCAATCTGCTCACACCTGATATCCTATGCAGAATGATTCAAAATGACTACATCAATTATTAAAAGAAATACTTAAAATTCTGTAAGTGTGCCATTGTGTGCCACAGTTGGCTGAAACTGTTCTCTGTGTCCTGCTATTTAGATTACCAAATATATTTTAAGCTTCAAGGACTTCAAAACAGTATACCATTTTCTAAATGAAGTGTCCTGAAAATATTTTTGCAGACAAATATTCTTATGTATTTCTCAACAAGAGTTTGGTTTCTTCTTTTTTTTTCTTTTTTCCTTTTTTTATATTTTAAAAGTTGATTTAAAATAATATTTGAAATGCTAGTTGCCAGGAAAAAAATAAATGCAGTTGTTTCTAATATCTGTTGCTTTTCTGTGGGCAGACAGGTACACATAAACTCTTTTATTCTGTACAGTTTAGAAAAGGAATGTGGATTATACTCTCTAGGCCTAGGGTCACACTCTGTAGGCCTAATCCTAAGACTTTACTCCTTCAACTTGTGGAATATCTGGAATGGGGTTCAAGGAGGACAAGATGCTCTTATGCTACAGCCATGCAACCCACAGTGACACTTAAGTACATGTATTTTTGTTGTGGCATGATTGAAAGTCAGGTTGCAACACAATAAAAATATAATCTTGAAATGATTTTGCAGTGTTACTTTATAAATGCTAGAATTTTTGCTATTAATTTGGAAGCTTAATGATACCATATATCCTAACTTGTAAATTAATTTTTGTCACCAGTTTCAGAAATCTTTTTTTCAGTGTTGTTTGATAGGTTCAAGAATGAATTCCGACCAACATGTAAAAGGAAGAAATTAAAAAAAACAAAACAACTGATTTTATTTTCCAGTGTAGATGTATATTATTTTTATTGTAGGTGGGGAAAAAAATACCATTTTCTGGTATTTTTAATTTTTGAAAGCCTTGCGTTTTTAAAAGAAAGCTCTTGTAATATTTTCCCTCCAGAGGGAAAGTTCTATTAAATGAAATAGGATTGACAAAGGTACTATAATTTCAACTTTTAATTAACAAAATACATTTTTTACAATACTGACTTAGAAAATAGAACTTAGCTGCAGTTTGAATTTTAAATAACTCTTCAGTGACCGTATGTTCATGCAGGTTAGTGGTGATAAACCGATAGTTGTACAAGTGTTTGTTCATTCTGTCTCTGTGGTCTCTTGCCTCACAATGCATGACTTATATCCTTTGGGTGCTCTAGACTTAATTTAAGCTAGTTAGATATTGAGGTTATTTTTTTTAAGCTCTTTACAAATCCTTCCACTTACATTATCCTCCTACTTGTGGAAAAGGCAATGACAGTATAAAAAGGTCAGAATGGAGGGTTGCAAGTAGTCATAAGAATAAAAATCCTTTCCCTTTTTCCATTATGACAAAATAGTTTATAAAAATTATCAAATAATGTAACAATAACTTTGTGACAATCTGTCTTTCTACCTTTTTGGATCCTTAATTACCTAGTTGACACACTTTAAATTAGTGAATTTCCCTGAAAATTTAAACAAGCTTACCTTATTTTAATGAATTTTCTACACTGAGAATTTAGATTTTTAAACAGTTAATTGTACAGATTTCAGTAATTCTGATTTTTAAAGATCTGTGGCTACAAATGCACTTGGGATTGGTTAAATTAGGGGGAAAAAAGATTGATTTGCCTACTTCAGATCCTAAACCCAGGTGTGGAAAAGGAAATAAAGTCCCTGAAATCAAGCCAACTTTTCTTGGAAACTAATTCTTTGTTGTCCATCTTACTATTGCAAAAGCTCCTATTAGACAAAATATCACTTTTGTTTTAGATGTCATACAAACTTAAGGAATACACACATGACCCATAATAACACTGATAAAAAACCAAAGTATTTTTGGTACGGAATCATGGAGTATTCCTTATCTCTTACAGCGAGAAGCACTATGAAGAGCTATTGGAATTATTTAAATCCTTTTCTGAGTTTCACTTTACCCTAGAATTCTCACTGTTCTTATTAGTGTTTATTTAGTTCTCAATGGGAATTAAAGGGAAAGATCGACAACTTATAAAGATATATCTTGCATGGAATAGTAAAACATTTCACTACTAATACTAGCAATTGTTAAGTGGGAAGCCACTACTTTTGAATTAGCAACAAGAAGTGAACTAAATAAATCATACCAGTCCTTAAAAATAATGTTGGCTAAATAATTGTGAAATCATGAGACTAATTCTGATTCTGCGAATTTGAAACTCCTGTTGGTTTTTTTGTGTCTACTTTTTGCTTGCTACTTACTCAACTTGCTTGACTAATACATATTTCAAACTATTCTCCTTTAATGCTGGATGTTGTTAACGGTACATCTGTAGTCTTTTACAGATTATACTAAAGAGCAATTTTCTAGTACTGGGTTGACTAAAACTTCTTAACTAACATGCCCTTTCTGTATATGTTTTACGTATAGTTTGTTTGTTTATTTTTTGGTTTGTTTGTTTTCCAGTATGGAGTGGGTGGGGGCTGCTGGCACAGAGCTGAAGAGTAGAGAGATAAGAATGTGCATATGCAATAGGGTAAATTAAATTGTGTGCTTATTTAATTAAAAGTTTATGTGGTCTATTTTTACTGTAAGATGAACAGCATATATAAGCTTAATTAGAATGAACCCATTTTAATTAGCATGTATCATAGTTTGATTTTTAAAAATTTGAAATCACAAATGATATCTTAGGAAGACTGAAAGAGAGATAATTTCCTAAGCAACTGGGCAATGAATCTGAGCCTTTTTTCAGCTTTCAGAAAAGGAGACTGAGTTTCTTTTGCATGTATATAAGTTTCAAGTTGCACTTTGTTACTGAGATCTGTTGAAGTTATACCACTTCAAATGAATAAATCAGTAATGATCATTTTATAAACTTTGGGGTTTTCTGTGATGCTTAATAAATGATCCCCTTAGGAAATAAATTTAAGTAATATTTACAATGCAGCTATTTGGAACTGACAAGTCTTTCTTTCCCTCTGAAAGTATTTTAGAATAATCTCTATTGGACATTTTTTTTTAGCCATGTAAGTATTTCTTCACCTACATTCAA